CCACTCGACTTCGCATTCCAGGATGTCTGGCTCCAGGGGAGTGATCACACCATCATGGCTATCTTACAAATAGCTAAGAAAAGAAAAGTAGCTAAAGGCAAAGGAGAAAATGAAAGATATATCCATTTGAATGCAGAGTTCCAAAGAATAGCAAGGAGAGATAAAGCCTTCCTCAGTGATCAATGCAAAGAAATAGAGGAAAACAATAGAATGGGAAAGATTAGCTATCTCGTCAAGAAAATTAGAGATACCAAGGGAATATTTCATATAAAGATGGGCTCAATAAAGGACAGGAATGGTATGGACCTAACAGAGTGAGTGAGTGAAGTCGCTCGGTCGTGTCCGACTCTGCAACCCCATGGACTGTAGCCTACCAGGATTCTCCATCCATGGGATTTTCCAGGCAAGAGTACTGGAGTGGGTTACCATTTCCTTCTCCAGGGGATCTTCCCAACCCAGTGGATGGAACCCAGGTCTCCCGCATTGTAGGCAGACGCTTTACTGTCTGAGCCACAAGGGAAGCCCTAACAGAAGCAGAAGATATTAAGAAGAGGTGGCAAGAATACAAAAAACTATACAAAAAAGATCTTCATGACCCAGATAACCACGATGGTGTGATCATTCACTGCTATATCCTGGGTTCGATTCCAGGAAAAAAAAAAAGAAAAAAAAAAAGCCTGGCATACATACATACAACTCACTAGACCAAGCCAACCATGTAACTCCGTTCTCTAAACCTCCTGTCCCCACTCCTCTGAGATCTAGATTTTTCCTACCTTCAAGGATTTGCTACAGTTTACCTCTCTCCACCACATCACTGGTAGCCTAAGAGGTTGGGAGGCTGCCAGTTCAGTGTTTCCTAGTCAGTGGAACGTCATGGATGGGGGATTCTTGGGGGTGGCTGGAGATGTCCCCAACCTGGTTTGGCTCACACGATGCTCTCCTCCACCCCCAGTGCAGGAACGCCGAAGTTGGCTGCCAGGTGACGTGCCCCTTGGCCCATCGCAAGGGACACCAGGACTCATGCCCCTTCGAGCTGATGGTCTGCCCCAATGAAGGCTGCATGTTGCGGGTGCCTCGTGGAGCCCTGGCTGAGCACAGGCAGAACTGCCAGCATGGTGCCCATCAGCGCTGCTCCCTGGGCTGCGGGGCCACCCTGGGCCCAGCCGAGCATGCAAACCACAATTGCTACCAGGAACTGCGAGAGGCCTGGTGCCAGCGCCAGCAGCGCAGCCGGGCCCTGGTGCTCTGCCTACTGCGGCACATGCGCAAAATGCACCGGACCACTGGCCTCATCCGCCGGCAGCTGGCAGACTTCCTGGAGGAAGATGACCCCCTGCTCGTGGGTGCCCCGCAAGAGGAGGCTGAGGCCACCCCCGAAGGCAGCACTGGGGCTGAGGTGTGGGGGCCCCAGGGCCAAGCTACCTTGTAAATAAAGGGTAAATAAATGCAGAGCCCAGGCCTGGCTGCCTCACTACCGCTATGCTTGCTGACCTCACCCCACCTCCTCTAGGAACTACTCCTCTCAGGGAAGAGGCACCTTAGCTTTTCCCCTGGACCTCTCCAAGTTCTTTCCCACCAGTTCCTCACATTGACTTTTCCCCTCAGCTCTCTGCCTGATTTTTTCTCATTCGGTTGTCTCCTCTGCAGAGGTTTCCCCTGTCCATCCTTTCCCAGTCCTCCTCCCAGTTACCTTCTTCCAATCTGTTTCCTGGCTTCGCAGCCAGTAGCACAAACAGCTCAAACCCCTGAAGTCAAAGTACAAGCCAACTGCTCACAGTGATTCCCGAGGATCCCTCCTTATCTTGTTTCTGCCCTATATTCTCCTTCCTACTCACTCCCTGCAGGCACACCGGCTTCTGTTTCTCCTAAATGCCAGGCTTCTGCACTGGCTGTTCCTCAGTCTGAAGCATTGGTCCCCCAGATAATCAGAGGGCTCCCTGCTTCACCAACCTCGGGCTTTGCTCGCAGTTCACCTTTACAAGGAAGCCTCCTCCATCACCCAGTTTAAAGTTGTGCCCCCTGCACTCCACTCCATCCTAACCCTACTACATTCTTTCCGATCACTAACCACTTAACAAGATTATTCCGGGCCCTTCCTCTGCCCAGCCCTGGCCTCACTAGCCAGCCTTCTCTGGTGTCTCCCAAGTGCAGAGAACAGAGAATGTGCTCAATCAATATTTGAATGGCCCCGAAATCGCCCGATTTACTACAGAGGATGAGATGGTTGCATGGCATCACCGACCCGATGCACATGAGTCTGAGCACACTGTGAGCTGGCGATGGACAGGGAAGGAGTCCATGGAGTCGCAAAGAGACGGACACGACAGAGCGACTGAACTGAAGTAGTTTACCCGCGCTATTTCTCATACCATGCGCTAAGGCGGAGCCTGGTTCAGGGCTCTGCTAACCCACCGCGCTTAACCCAAACGCCAGAATGCCAAGGGGGCAGGAGTCTTGGGATTACTTCAATAACCAGTTCCTACGAATACCTTTTCAAATTTCCACTTAAAAGACAGGCGGCTGGCGACTCCAGCACGCGGCCAGTCTACGCCTCCCTCCCACATTACTCTACGCCCCACCCTCCAGGCCGGAAACGCCTCTGCCATCTTCCGCTTCCTGACGCCGCGCCACTGCCCACAGCAAAGATGTCGCCGAGGTCGCAGCGCCGATGACGTAACAGTAGTAGTGGGCGGTGACGCCATCTCTGCGAGCCCAAGGTGCGGAATGGCTCCCGGGTCTCCCTCACGCGGTGGCACCGGCGACATGGCTGAAGTGGCGGCCGGAGTGGGCCGCTTCAAGTCCAAGTAAGCTGGGGCGCTGGGACTGGGGGCGAACCCGCCGCTGGGTCTTGGGTCGCCGCCGAGGGAGGGAGCCGGGTTCGCAGCCGGAGTAGCGAAGGCGCCGGCGTGGGTCCCACACGCATCGGTTTGGGAAGGGATGAGGTAATAACGGGGCTGGGTCCTAACAAGCGGGCGGCGGCGTCGCGGCTGCGGCATCAGGTGACAGAGCAGGCACTGACAGCGCTCAGCTCTCGGAGGGCAGGCCCTGGAGCCTGGTCGGGTGCAGCTAGCTTCCGCGACCTAAAGTTGAAGCAGGTTCGGTCGGGGGCGGGGACTAGAGATCCCTAAGCGAGAGGAAGGGTCGAGGCCGGTCCTGAACGGTGGGAGTCCCCACCGCCCAGACGACCGCAGAAGAGCCACCTTTGGGGCAGGCGGCCTGGGGAGCTTTCACATGCTGTCTCTCTTCTCCAAGGACTGGGAAGAGGTCAGGAGATGAGCTAGACAGACGTCCGTGGCCAGGAGGCCCTGAATCCCGGGCTTATGCAATCCCCAAACTTATGTTGAATGTCTAAGTGCTCAGTTCCCGGGTCCAGACAGACTCAGCCTAACGCGTAGGAGCAGAATCTGATGGGGTACACCTACCAAGCAGATCATTTCCAGCAGTAGCTGCGACAAGCACTAGCAAGGGGAAACCCTGATGCCAAGACCTCTGTTGGATGGTGGAGCAGGCTCAGAGGGCCTCCAGCCTACTCTTGGCCGTCAGGCTTCCTTTAGTGGAGTTAGCCAGGCACCTTGGAAATTCAGAGAGGCCCAGGCTGGGAACAGGGAACAGTCTGTGTGAACACAAAGGATCAGCAGAGATTCCTCACGGCAGGTTCTTGGGAACACGTAAGGAGAGGAGAGGGTTTCAAGGCAGGGGACAACACAAACAAGAGTTGTGTTCTTGCTCTGGGAGCAAGCTTTGAGAGAGTGGTTGGTACATGGTGAAAAGGCTGTAACAGCTGCCCAGAGAGGAGAGTGCCGTGGCCTGGACCAGCAAGGAAGTAGCAGAGAGGGAGGGGTGAGGATAATCTGCCTGGAGAGTGGAGTGGAGGAAGGAACTGGGGTTGTGGAAGGGCAGGCTGGAGTTGGACCTCAAGGATAAGGGTGTTGAAGAGGATGTTGCTCTGGGTTGGTACCCAGGCCTGGCCTCCCATGGCCAGCAGAGGGCGCCCAAGGTCTGGCTTCCTGGGCACCTGGGAGTCTATGGGAAGATTTGGACTGCCTTTGCTTCCCTGGGCCCGTGTGAATCACTGACCCACTCAGGGTCCCAAATCTTCTGTAACAAGGGGGTACTAACACCCACATCCCAATATGGCTGAGAGGGGTAAAGAAGGTAACAGATGAGCTCATCACCCCACCATGTGTGCGCACACACATGCACCCCAGAATCCCTGCCCTCCCAGAAGCTCCTCAAGGGCAGGGTCCTATTGGGTTGACCTCCGGGAGAGCACCTAGCACAGGGCTGGGCACCGGGGACCACGGGTGGTGGTTCACTCTCTTGCCCTGTCTCCCCTCCAGCTATGCTGTCGAGCGCAAGATCGAGCCTTTCTACAAGGGTGGGAAGGTGCAGGTACTGGCCCCGGCGGGGGGAAGGGGGAGGCGGGTCAGAGGGAGGGTCAGCAGGGTGATGAGGAGCCTGGGGCTGCAGGGTGGTCCCTTGTCTGAGACCTCTTTGTCCCCAGCTGGACCAGACTGGACAGCACCTCTTCTGTGTCTGTGGCACCAGAGTCAACATCTTGGACATGGCCTCGGGGGCCGTGCTGCGGAGCCTGGAGCAGGTGAGGGCGAGGAAGGTCGGGGCCAGGTGCCGGTGTGGATGGCAGCCTGTTCTCACGGCACCCTGCACACTCACTGTCGCCCCTAGGAGGACCAGGAGGACATCACTGCCTTTGACCTCAGCCCCGATGACAAGGTGTGTGGGGTCAGGACAGGAGGTGGGCCCCGGTACCTCCTGCCCAGACTGAGTGGGTAAGGATGTCACACACACCCGTGCCCCAGCTGAACTGCGTCCTCCCCTAGGTGCTGGTGACAGCCAGCCGGGCCCTGTTGCTGGCTCAGTGGGCTTGGCAAGAGGGCAGTGTCACCCGCCTGTGGAAGGCAATACACACGGCCCCTGTGGCCACCATGGCATTCGACCCCACCTCCACACTGCTAGCCACAGGTAGGACCTCGGCTGGGTTGGGGGCGGCGAGCCAGGCAGGGATCTTTGGGCCCACAGTGCCCCCACCTCAGATCCACTCCCACAGGCGGCTGTGATGGGGCTGTGCGCGTCTGGGACGTCGTGCGGTACTATGGGACGCACCACTTTCGGGGCTCGCCAGGCGTCGTGCAGTGAGTCGGGGCAGCGGGAGGCAGGGCGGGGGTCGTCACAGCCAGGGTGGCGCAGCTCACAGCCCCGCCCGCCTGCCCGCAGCCTGGTGGCCTTCCACCCGGACCCCGCTCGCCTGCTGCTCTTCTCCTCAGCCGCAGACACCAGTGTCCGCGTGTGGTCGCTGCAGGAGCGGTCGTGCCTGGCTGTGCTGACTGCCCACTACAGTGCCGTCACGTCTCTGACCTTTAGCGCCGACGGCCACACCATGCTCAGGTCAGAGCCCAGCCGACCCCCGGCCTTGGCAGGGAAGGGAGGCCCACAGCCGCGGCCCTGGCACTGAAGCGGGTGTCCCCCCAGCTCGGGCCGGGACAAGATCTGTGTCGTCTGGGACCTGCGGAGCCTCCAGGCCACAAGGACTGTGCCGGTGTTTGAGGTGGGGGCGCCAGGGCCAGTGAGGGCGGTGGGAGGGGAGGGGCAGCGAGGCCGGGGGCTCCACCCCTGACCTGCTTGTCCTCAGAGCGTGGAGGCCGCGGTGCTGCTGCCGGAGGAGCCGGCACCAGAGCTGGGTGTGAAGTCTGCAGGCCTGCACTTCCTGACGGCCGGTGACCAAGGTGTGTGGGCCGGGCCCGGGCAGGAGGGGGCGGGGGCCGGCGGACCCAGCGTGCCAGCGGCCTTGTCTCTGCCCAGGCACGCTGCGCGTGTGGGAGGTGGCCTCTGGGCGGTGTGTCCACGCACAGCAGCGGCTGCCAGGCCCCGGGCGGGAGCTGACCCACTGCACCCTGGCCCGCGCCGCCGGCCTGCTCCTCAGCGTCACTGCTGACCACAACCTGCTGCTCTACGATGCTCGCTCCCTGCGGCTGCGGAAACAGGTGCACGCACTGCCCCTGCTCAGCCCCCAGCCCGGGTGCCACCTCCCTGCTCACCCAGCCTGCCCTGTGTCCCTCCCACCCCACAGTTCGCCGGCTACAGCGAGGAGGTGCTGGATGTCCGGTTCCTCGGGCCTGAGGACTCTCACATTGTCGTGGCCTCTAACAGCCCCTGCCTGAAGGTGTTTGATCTGCAGACCTCCGCCTGCCAGATTCTCCACGGCCACACAGGTGAGGGCACCAACCAGGCCCCGGGCCCTCACCCGGACGGAGTGCCTGGCCTGGCCTCAGCTGACCTCTAGCCACGGCCACTCCACTTTCTTCCAGACATCGTCCTGGCCCTAGACGTGTTCCGGAAGGGGCGGCTCTTTGCTAGCTGTGCCAAGGTGAGGCACCACAGAAGCTGGGGGGCAGGGACTGGTGGGGAAGCCCCGCCCAGCCTCCCCTCACCCTTCGCATCCCCAGGATCAGAGCATCCGCCTCTGGAGGATGAACAAAGTCGGCGAGGTGGCTTGTGTGGCTCAGGGCTCTGGGCACACACACAGCGTGGGCACCATCTGCTGCTCCAGGTAGTGGTCAGGGCCGGGGGTGTCACAGAAGCAGAGGCAGCTCTCGCCTTGCTCTCTGAGTCTCCAGCCCAGGGGTGCGGAACAGAGGCCAGGGCAGGGCACCCCAAGGGGCTGCGGCTCCCTAGAAGTAGCCTTGACCGGTGGGTACAAGGACACTGAGTGATGGCCGGGGCAGGGCTCCCATTGTTGGACTGAGTCACCAGGGGTGGCCAGGGTTGGGGACACGCAGCAGTTCTGGTCGTGGGGCAGGCTTTCCGGGCTGGCCCGAGGCCTGAGCTGTGGGGCTCTGCCAGCAGGGCTGGCCAGGGCTCAGCAGGTGTCTCCCCTCCCCCGAATCCGGCCACAGGCTGAAGGAAACCTTCCTGGTGACGGGCAGCCAGGACTGCACTGTGAAGTTCTGGCCCCTCCCTGAAGCCCTGCTGTCCAAGGGCACCGGCCCCGAGGGTGCCCCGGTCCTCCTGCAGGCCCAGGCCACGCAGCGCTGTCATGACAAGGTGACCGCACGCAGCGCCTTGGTGGGGTCATGGCCAGGCCCTCGCCAGGATGGGGGTCTGAGTGGCTGCCTGCTCTCGCCACCAGGACATCAACAGTGTGGCCGTCGCCCCCAATGACAAGCTGCTGGCCACGGGCTCACAGGACCGCACGGCCAAACTCTGGGCCCTGCCACAGTGCCAGCTGCTGGGCGTCTTCTCGGGCCACCGGCGCGGCCTCTGGTGCGTCCAGTTCTCACCCATGGACCAGGTGTTGGCCACGGCCTCGGCCGATGGCACTGTCAAGCTCTGGGCCCTGCAGGACTTCAGCTGCCTCAAGGTGAGCCGCCCCTGGCCCAGGCCTGGCACCCCCCACCCCAGACCACCCCCACCCTGCCCACAGACTTTCGAGGGGCACGACGCCTCTGTGCTAAAGGTGGCCTTCGTAAGCCGCGGCACGCAGCTGTTGTCCAGGTGAGTGGGGGGTGGGCAGGGCCGGGGTGTGCTGGGCAGGCCCCAGGCTGAACCCCTCCCATCCCCACCCCAGCGGCTCTGACGGGCTCCTGAAGCTCTGGACCATCAAGAACAACGAGTGCGTGCGGACGCTGGACGCCCATGAGGACAAGGTCTGGGGGCTGCACTGCAGCCGGCTGGACGACCGCGCCCTCACTGGTGCCAGCGACTCCTGCGTCATCCTCTGGAAGGTGTGTGGGCCAGGGAGGGCGTCACAGTGGGCAGGGCAGCGTGGGGGCTGGTCTGAGCCCAGTGTGACCCCGCTCTGACCCCAGGACGTGACCGAGGCAGAGCAGGCCGAGGAGCAGGCCAAGAAAGAGGAACAGGTGGTCAAGTAAGTGGGGTCTCCCTGCCCCCCAGCTTGGAGTCGGCGCGCTGGTCCCTCCTCTCCAGAGCAGCCACCCTGCTCGCCCCTGACAGGGTCAGGCATGGCCAAGTCCCCCAGGGGCCCTGTGCCTTGTCACCTCCTTGCCCTCCAGGCAGCAGGAGCTCGACAACCTGCTCCACGAGAAGCGGTACCTGCGGGCGCTGGGCCTGGCCATCTCCCTGGACCGGCCCCACACCGTGCTGACCGTCATCCAGGGTCGGTGCTATCTCGGGCCGCACGGGGTGGGGGTCTCTCGGGGTCTGTGCTGCCCCTTCCCCAGGGCTTAACCTCCACTCCCCCCGCAGCCATCCGAAGGGACCCCGAGTCCTGTGAGAAGCTGGAGACCACGGTGCTCCGATTGCGGCGCGACCAGAAAGGTCTGGGGTGGGCAGGTCGGACTGGATGGGGCCGTGTGAAGCTGGGGCCCCGGGGGCAGGTGTGACTGTGCCCGTCACCCACAGAGGCTTTGCTGCGCTTCTGCGTCACATGGAACACCAACTCACGGCACTGCCACGAGGCCCAGGCCGTGCTGGGCGTGCTCCTGCGTCACGAGGCCCCGGACGAGCTGCTGGCCTACGATGGCGTGCGAGCCTCGCTGGAGGGCCTGCTGCCCTACACCGGTGAGTGGGCCGGCCCTGGGGGCGGGCAGGGCTGTCGGCCACACTCAGCCAGCCCTGACAGCCCGCGGTCCTCCCCCAGAGCGGCACTTCCAGCGGCTCAGCCGGATGCTGCAGGCAGCCACCTTCCTGGACTTCCTGTGGCACAACATGAAGCTTCCCACTCTCCCCGCGGCCACCACGGCCCCCGCGGCCCTCTGAAACACGGACTTTGCTATCTCGGCTCCCTGTGTCCACCTTGACTTTATTTCACCCCCTGGTCCTGGGCCACAGCTGGCCAGCCTGAGGGTGGGCCCGCCAGTCAGCCCCCTCCCCTAGCACAGACATGGCACGGTCAGTCAGGAGAGCTTTACTCAGGGCACACCAGGGGTGCATGGCCCAGCAAGCCCCACCTCCACTGCTCTTCCCACGGCCCTGAGGCTGAGGCGGCTGCCAGCGGTCGTCCCTGGGCTCTGGAGCCTGGGGTGGTCCCTGGGGTGCACAGCATCACCCTCCACGATGGACCGCGCTCTCTCAGAGGGCTCCCTGCCGCCCCGGGTCCCGCTGCAGTGCCTTACGGGTGATGGTGCAGCAGCGGCTTTGAATAGCGCTCAGAGGCGGCCGGGTAGGCACAGGAGGCGGAAGCATTGCGGCCTGGGGGGACCTGGGGGAGCCATGGGCCTTGCCCTCCCCACCTTCCGCAGTGCCAGCCCCGTGGTGGAGCCATGGCCCACTGAGGAGGGTGCCCAGCCCATCACGCTGCAGCGTTGCAGCTGGGAGAAGACCGGTGCGGCCTCGGAACCTGTGGGACACATTTGGTTGGCTCTGGGCCTTGTCCCCCCGGCCCTGCCACCAGACCGGCTGTCGGAGCCCCAGCCCACACACCTGCACAGCCACCAGCCTCGGTCAGAGGCTTCCAGCACACGCACGCGTGCCCCTGCGGGCACAGACAGCTCATCAGCCCGGCTGCTCTCATAGGCATGGACAGCACAGAACTGGGGCCCTGGGGGTAGACGCTGGGTGGTCACCATGGGGCTGCAGAGGTCAGGGCACCACCCCTGCTGAGTCACCCCCTCGGGGCACCCCTATGCATCTCTTAATACCAGAGACCGCTTCTAAAGCCCAGCGGGCTCTGGCTTGCTCTGAGACCAAGCACACGCTGGCAGGGCCTCCCTCCCCAGCTCGTGCTGGACGCTGCCTTGTGAAAGGAGGGGTGTGGGGAGGAGGGTCATTCTCACCGCTTATCCCCAGGGGCTGTTCCCCACCCTGTCCCCGGTGTGGGGCCGCCTCCTCCAAGTAGGGAGCAGGAAACCACGCCGTCTGCTGGTCCTTGTTCGCCACCAGCCACCAGCCTGTGCCCGAGAGGGGGACGGGCGAGGGCTTCAGTTCTGCAGCCCACTGGGATCCCAGGGGCAGGACGGCATGTCCTTCCAACTGCCCAGCCCACCTGAGGGGTGTCGTAGCAGCACATCCAGGGCCTCCTGGGCCTGAGTGCAGAAGGGCTGGCCCCGCATGTCCTGGGTGCTGAACGGCTGCAGGCAGCGCAGGCTCTGGGCCTCCAGGGTGCGGATGGCAGGGCTGCCTGAGGGGCCTGGCGGGGACTCTTGCAGGGCGGGCAGGATCACCAGGCTGGTGAGGGCCCAGGGTGAAGGGGAGAGGTGTCAAGTGTCTGCCACACACCTGTCCGGCCTCCAAGTCTCCCCGCTTGTGGGCCCTTCCCCACCACATCTCCCCCATCCTCAGGGCAGGCACCTGCCAGGTGGCAGCATAGGCTCCAAGTCCGCAGCTTGTGGCGCGAGGAAGCCAGTGAGCACCAGGCTGCGGGACACATGCTCCCCTGCCGCCAGCAGCGCCCTCAGGTAGGCCTCCAGCAGCTGCAGGCGGGCCAGGCCTCGGCTGGTGCGGCCTCGGTGCACCAGCCAGGGTGCGTCGGCTGTCGGTAGGACGGGGCGGCTGTGGGAGCCCCGCCCGGCCCCTCACATCCCACCGCTGCCGCCCCCGCCCTCCTGGGATCCCTGCTGCCCTGACCTGGGAGCTTGGGGAGAAGGCGGTCAGATCTCCGCAACAGGCCCGCCTCCACTGGGAAGGTCTCCTTGAGGGTTTTCTGAGAGTGAGAAGAGGCATCGGTCTCCGAGGGCCCACTAGGTTCCCCTGGGACAGCAGGCAGGGGTCCCTTAGCTGAAAGCCCGAGTGGGCACAAGGGCAAGCCAGGGGTGATTTCAGGTGGGTCAGGCTGCTGGGGGAAGTCGGGTGACCAGGCTTACTCACGTGGAGTCTCCTGAAGTCCTCCCAGCTTCTGCGTACGAAGCTGTCGCTATCATCCGACCAGCACACAGAGAAGGCGAACATCTGCTGGGGGAAGGTCAGGGGCATCTTGGAGGCACTGGGCCAGGAGCTCCCCCACCTCCTCTCGGGCTGGCAGGGGTCCCACACGCTCCTACCTGGAGCCTCTCTGTCTGCACCAGAGCTGCCCCCCTCACACACACCGGGTGCCGGGCTCCCGCCATCCTGGTGACCTCCCCAGATGTCCGTGACGGGCTTGTGGAGTCTGCTGGGTGTGACCCCGGGTCCCACTACCGCCCTGCCTATGTGGGGAGGAGGGGAGGCCTTGGGCACCCGGAAGGCTGGAATTCCCCAGCAGCGCCCCAGCCCTGGCTGCACTCCCCTGCCCTTGACTGGGGCTTTCCCCGCTTCCTCACCACGCCCCTCACCTGGGGAGGCAGGGGCACAGGGCTTCCAGGGTGGAGGCCCTCCTACCAGAGTGTGAGCCTGAGGGGAGGAGGAGAAGGAAGGGCAGTTAGAGAGCCGCCAGGCTGCCCCTCCCGGCTTGCCATGCCCTGGGCTAGTGCCCAGGCTGGGCAGAGCTGCCCAGTGGCCTGGTGTGCCCCTGGCTCTGTCCCTGAGCTGACTGCAGTCGTCACCAGGAAAGTGTTAAAGGCTCTAAGTGCTTTGTTTGGCTTAATCCTCACATCGGAAGAAAGGTCTCTTGATGGCCCCAAATGGCAGAGGAGGAAATCTGTTAAACAGATACTGTCAGGGTTTCTCCCATCTGCTGGGGAGAGGCAGACCTCACGGGCTCACCCCACAGGTCCCGCTGTGGTGGAGGGGCTTGCAGCAGGATGAAGAGGGTCCATCTCTAGTCACTGGCATTGGGAATGGCGAGGTGGAATTGGGAATGGCTAAGACTGTTCTGAGAATCCCCTCTGAATTCATGGTTTTATCACAGTATGCTGCAGACACAGCCTCTGAGGTCTGGAGTGACCCTCCCCCCACGAGCTGGGGCGGTTGAAGGGAAGGCCCTAGAATCCCCAGACAGACGTTGCGCCCAGGGGCCCACATCTCGGAACCACCGCCTCATAGGGCAGAGGAAAGCCCATCCAAACCTGGAGCACAGGGGATCTTCCTTCCCCCGCCCACAGCTCAGAGAGCCGGGAGGGGCAGCTAGCCTGGCGGCACTCCGATGGCCCTTCCCCTCCTCCCTCAGTCCCAGCCCCTCCACCCAAGCCCTCCATGAGGGAGGGGTCAGGAAGCCACCCGGGCCTGACAAAAGGCCTTTGTGCATCTGTCCAGCCAGAGGCGTGCTCTGAAGCCTTCAAACTTCCCCTGGTCTTGGCCCAGGCAATGAACACCTGTGGATGCAGGCCTGATTTTTGCAAAGTGCCTTCTGTCCGGCTGCCACACTCTTGCCAATCTCAGTGGGGGCCGCTGGCCCGGTAGGGTACAGAATGGGACGGCTCCAGCTCCCTTGGAACACAGTGAAGTTGGAGAAGGGCCAGTCCAATCACAGCCAGGGACCTAGAAGGATGTTGCGGCCCCTCCCTACACTGCTGACAGCCCCGTGTTCCCCACTCCCAGCAACCGAGATCCTCTCCACACCTCCTCCCTCACCTCTCACCTGGACCACTACAACAGCTCCGAGGAAACTATGCAAAACCAAAATGGGATCAGGCCAGGGTACCCTGCCCCAAACTTCCCAGCACCATCCCAGGGTCCTCAGCATACATCCTCAGCTCCTGGGGCAGACGATGGTGTCCTCAGTGGGCCCTTGGCAGCCTCAGGACCTCTGCTCACACCACCCTTCCCAGGTCCTGTCCCACATTAGCCTTTCTGCCCTTGCAGGAAGTCAAGCTACTCCTCCCTCCTACATTGGCTCTGACTACCCTCCTCAGCCGATTTCTCATTCTTCAGGCCCCTCTGCCTAAGGGTCAACTCCTCAAGGAGGCCTCCTAGATTTAACACACCCTGTTCACAGCCTCCATCACAGCTTGTACCTACACACTTGGTGTGACTCTTGTTTTTTCCATCTTGACCACTAGACTATGGGCTGAGGAGGTCAAGGAGGAACGAATCTTGCTTCTTGCCCTGTCCAGAGCCTAGAGCAGTGCTAAGGACACATTAGGCACTACACAGGTATTTGCAGAATGAATTAATGTACATATTAATATACATATGGAATTAATACATTTGGAAGCAGTGGTATCCCTGAGGCCACGCCCCACCTGGGTTTAACCCCTTCAGATAGGCTGTGGGACTGAGCAGAGGAGACGGGCTGCCCAGTGCTCCCCGGAGTCCAGAGACGCACCTCCTCCTCTGCAGGCACGACCTTCCCAGCCTAGGCGGGCGCCCGTTGCCATGGCGCCGGTCGCCTAGGCGGACTCGCCAAGCCCGCAGCCGCACTGCCCTGTGTGCGCTCACAGCCCCGCCCCGCATTGCCCAGGCGCCAAGCACCTGGCCCCGGGCGCGCCCCCAGCGGAGGGCACAGAGCCAAGCCGCAGGCACGCGAGACGGTCGGAGCGGAGCGATGGGGGCGTCGCGGGCCGCAACACGGAGGTCCAAGAGGCCACAGCCCGAAGCCGCGTCGCGCCCACGGCGCGTCGTCCACAGCACGCTGGTCTTCTACTGGAGGAAGGGGGAGCACCGCCACGGCCGACACAAGACTGGCTCGGGACCTGGAACGAGGCCCAAGGGGGAGGCTAGGACTCGGGGCTCGGGCGCCGCGCAAACCGCGGCTCCGGCCTCCGGCGAGTCCCCATCCCGCACGTCCCCATCCCGCACTCCTGCAACTCCCGGAGCGCGGACCAGGGCCGCCAGCCCCGCCCCCGCACCTGCGGCCTCGCTCTGGCGGCGGCGCGCGCGCTGGCCTGGAGGCCGACCTGGTTGCCGGTGTGGAGGCCTCGCTGGCCCGGCAGGCACTGCGCGGGCGGCATGGCGGCGCCCAGCGAGCGCTACCGTTTCGGCGCCGGGAGCCTCTTCTCTTTCCTGCCCGGCGGCGCGCGCTCCGAGGTGACGGAAGACCTGGTGACGGACGCGCGCGGCCGCGGCGCGGGGCGGAGAGAATCCGCTGCTTCGGCCCGGGCGCCATCCGCGGGGCCGGCGTCTGACCCTCCGGCCTCGGAGCTCGCCTCCCCGCGGCGGCCCTGCCGGGCCTGCGTGGACTTCAAGTCGTGGATGCGCACGCAGCAGAAGGTGCAAGCGCAGGGGGGCCCCCACACCTTGTCCTCGGGCACCCCGGACAGGCTGCCCGTCCCCTCCCCGGGGGTCGGCTCTTCCTAACCGTGCCCTCAAGGTAGGCCCGGCCTTGCGGCTCTTGGCCACGTGTGGGCTGGATTGGCCCCAGGACTTCTGTCTCCGGTCAATGGGTCTCCGGCTGGGGCGAAAAAAAAGGGGGAGTTTTGTAGGTTTCTGGTCGGGGAAAACCAAACTGATCCTTGGTCGGCCTCCTTCCACAGCGGGACAGCAAGTTTAGGGAGGATTGCCCTCAGGATCGCGAGGAACTGGGCCGCCACAGCTGGGCTGTCCTCCACACCCTGGCTGCCTACTACCCCGACCTGCCCACCCCAGAGCAGCAGCAGGATATGGCTCAGTTCATACATTTATTTTCCAAGTTTTACCCATGTGAAGAGTGTGCCGAAGACATAAGGAAAAGGTGAGTCGTGTCTGCAGGGTGTGCAGCCTGGGTCTGGGGCCCCTGGCAGATGTCATAAAGGGGAGCCTAGAGAAGTAGAGGCCGAGGTGGCAGCGGGTTGCCGAGAGCAGGGACCACCAACAACGGAGGGATTCCAGAGCCATTGCCTTTCTCCTCAAAGGCCAGGCCTGGGGCTGCTGCTGGGGGCTGCTGCTTTTTGCAGCCACGGAGCTCACTCCCAGGGAGGGCTACTCTCATGAGATCCCTTGCTTAGCACTGATGAAGCCTCTGGCAGGTTTCTGGGGACATGTGCCTAACTTCTGGAGCAGGGCCTTCAGTTTCAAGGCCTTGGGAACTCGCCTGCTTTTGCTTCCAAGAGCCGCCTTTTTGGGGAACCTAAGGACTGTTGTTTGGCAGCCATAAGCATTTCTGGGCTGGCTGTGGGGGAAAGGGCAGCCCTTGCTGTTTAGAGCCTGGGCATTTACTTATGAGGTCTCTTGCTGAGGTGGTGTGGCAGGGCCAAAGAAGCAGACCTGGTTTTCAGGTAGGCCTTTATGCCAGCCCCGCCCTTCTACACACTGCCTGGGGCCAGGGACGCTGGGGTGAGGCCTCCTGATTGTTATGAGGTTGTAAAGTGGAGACCTTGTGTCTTAATGTCTTGCCCAGGGCTCTTGTCAGGGTTTGCCACGCGCCCTACAGTACGGGTTGGAGCAGGTCTAAGAGTCCACCGGGCCTTGAGGCTGGAGGGTCAGCCCCCTTCTGGGAATTCCTCAGAGCATGAGGGCACCCCAGGGTCTAGGCCCCAGCTCTCCTCCCTGGATTGAGCAGGCCAGGAGATGGTGGGGCAGGCACGCTGGGAGCACCGCCTGCCCCCTCCTGCACGTGCTCCCCCTCACGCAGGATATACAGGGACCAGCCAGACACGCGCACTCGGGTGAGCTTCACCCAGTGGCTCTGCCGTCTGCACAACGAGGTGAACCGCAAGCTGGGCAAGCCGGACTTCGACTGCTCACTGGTGGACGAGCGCTGGCGCGACGGCTGGAAGGACGGCTCCTGTGACTAGACTAGCCAGCGGCCAGAGCCTGGGGAGGCCCGGCCAGAGGGGCGGGGCTTATTAAAGTGCCGTCACACACAGAGCCTGTGGTGTCTCCGTTGGGTGGTCCCCAGACCCTGCCCTTGGAATCCTCTCCCTCTTGAGGTTCGGGGAAGAAGTGGAGGAACCCGATGCGGTGGTGGCCTCCTCACGGCGGGCCTGCAGGGCTGCTGACGGGGGAGGCAGGGACAGCCCAGGACGTCCCTTCCCTTCAGGATTCGGCCTCTGCTCACCCACCCCACCGCCTGCTTCTCCACACAGGAAGCCCACAGGCCTGGCTGGGTACTGCCGTCTTGCCCCTCCAGGCCTGGCCTGTGTCTCCCCACCCTGTAGTGAGGGACAGCAGGGGATAGTGACTGTAGCCGCAGAGGCTGTGCACTGTTTGCACTTCAGGAAAGAGGCCTATGGGCCGAGCTCTGCTGCTCGCCTCCGGTCTGGCCTCTGGCCTTACAGGTTCCATGGAACTCGAGACCAAAATAAAATGCTGGAGAAGTGACCGAAGTCCTGGCTTCAGTGTGTTTTGTGCTGGGACTTGCAATAGCAGACAGGCCTGCTACCTGCATCCGTCTGCAATCTGCTGCTTCCTTATCTGGGTTCTGGTTCCCCAGGAGAAGGGGGCTTTTCCAAGGCAAGGGTGGGCTAGGATATTGAGGAACAGGAGGCTGAGTTGCTGGAGCTGAGGGAGAAAGGATCAGAGGAGGGGAGATTGAATGACCAAAGGTCCTCAAGGCCCCAGTAAGGATGTGGTTCTAACACCCAGCTCTGACCAAACATGCATCGTGGAGGATCTGGAGCAGAGGGACAGCAAGGTGTGACTTTAGCTGGAATGTGGCAGGGGTGGCCAAGAGTAGGGAGGATTGACACATACTACGCAGCAGCTGAGAGGGAAGTTCGCCCCAAGGTGAGTGGGAGGCATCACTGGATTGAAGGTGGAGTCCAGGGTGACTATGGAGTGCTGGCCCAAGCCACTGGAAGAAGGCAGTTGCCCAGTGTGTCAGTGAGATGCAGAAGGCTATGAGTGGAGCAGGTTTGGGGGTGACCTGGACCCAGCTTTAGGGCCTTCCCAGATCCTCTCATCCACACCCATTCCCAGGGCTTGGCTCCCAGCTGGAATGGCTCAGCAACAGTGTGCCCCACCCCTGTGATCATAAAGCTCTGGTCACCTCTCCCTAGGGTGTCTAAGCCCCTAACTGGGCAAGAGCCAGCCTTTAGCACATCGGCATCTTCACCACACTGGCCCTACAGGGGTGCTGGCTTCCACAAGGGCTGCCCAGAGGAGCCAGGTGACACAAAGAAATAGGGGCAACTGCTGGATAAGTCACTCCTCTTTGGTATACCGATGAACACCCCCAGCACAGGGGGACCTGCATGCTGGGAGCCAGCAGGGCTGTGGTCAGTTCAGGACCACGCCTTCCATGTTGGCTCTCCCCCCTTCCCTGCCTCACTTCCCTTCTTCCCTAACTCTGCCTTCCTCAAAGTTTCACCTCCCAATAAAACTCTTAACTTTGCAGCAGATTCTGATTTCCAGGCTAAGACAAGAGGGACTCAAGTTCAAGGGAAAGTCCTGGCTCAAGCTGTGAGCATGGAGACCAAGAGAGTGAGCACAGAGCAGGGAGAAGAGCCCCAGGACCAGACATGGGGACTCCTAAGCTCAAAGGTCACAGGAAGAACAAGAGAAAGAGATAAGAAAGGGCCCATGAAGTAGGAAGTAGGAGGAGAGGGTGACGTCGGAAGTGTTTCCAGAAGGATGGGAAAAGGATGGCAATGCCTGAATTGCCCCTGGGACTAAAAGGAGCAGTGACAGCTGGAGGGAAGAGGGTTCAGGAGTGGAAGGCAGTAGCAGGTTTAGGCACCGATGTAACCAATCAAGTAAAAGGGGAAATGAATGATGGATGAGACGGAACTGTTGCTGACAGGTGAAAGGTATGGGACTGGATATACAAGGCATCGAGTCAACCAGGTCACACCTTTCCCCAATGTCCCGTATAGAAACTGGCATCATCTGTCCTGGCACAGTAGTGACCTGGGTTTCAATCCCGGTTATTCACGTTCTGTGATCAAGGAACTAAACCAGTGTTGTTTTTTTTAAACTTGGTCACGTTGCATAGCTTACGCGATCTCACTAGTTCCCTGACCAGGGATCAAACCCAGCCTTGGCAGAGAAAGTGTCGAGTCCTAACCACTGGACAGCCAGGAAACTCCCAGACTGGCTATTTACCATCTGAAGAAAGAGGGGGTAAAAGAGCCCCCTCCTCCACAGAGGGTGGTGGAACCCCAGACACTATCAGCGCTCAAGGAATGTGGACTTTCCTCAAATGTCCTGGGCAGAAACAAGCATCACCTGGGCCCCTGCCCAGCTCCCTGGAAGGACCATGAAGGAAGGGACCCTGTCCAACCCCAAGCTGGGTGATCTCTGGAAGAAACCCAGCAGGTGTGCAAGGGAGCCAGGCACTCGCTCTGCCAAACTCCCCATCTCCAATGCTTCGCCCCAAACTGCCAAAAGTCAGCTGGGGAGACCCAGGATTGTGGAGGGGGCTCAGTGGGCACCCTCCGCAGGACCAGATCCAGCTACAGGATAAGAGCAGAGACGCCCCACCTCCCACCCGGCCAACCTCTGGGCTTTGCCTGCCTGGGCGGTGCCCTGAGGGCAGAAGTGCCCCACCCTGTTAGGGAGGCTAGAATCCTCTGAAGGAGAAGGGGGACTCAAGAAAGCTGGGTTTCCCTTTCCCTGAGGGCTGGGGAGAGACACTGGAACCCTGGGTTTGTTACCTCCTTGCATACTCAGCAAAGGGCCCTGTTCGGAGGAGCAGGGTCACAGCGGTCCGTCCATCCGCCTGGCTACCGCAAAGTCTGCGGGGCCTGCTGACTCCGGACTATTTGTGGGGTGGGGGCACTCGGCTCCTTGATCCCCGCCGCAGCGGGCGCGCGCTCCCGAAAGGCGGCGGCGGCGGCAGCACCGGCCGCACCAGCAGCATCAGCACTCACAGCATCCCCGGGCGGCCTCGGGCGGGGCCGGCCCGACGGATAGGCGGACAGAGGGCCCCGGGGGCGCGCGGCCCGCCCAGGCTGACCATGGAGGGAGGCTCGTTCGGCGCGGGACGCGCGGGGGCAGCCCTGGACCCTGTCAGCTTCGCGCGGCGGCCCCAGACCCTGCTGCGGGTCGCATCCTGGGTGAGTGGCCGACCCCAGCCCCCGCCCCGATACCCGCTCCCACCTCGCCTCGTCTCCCGCATCCCGAACACCTGCGCCTCGCCCCTGCCCTTCGCCCCTTCCCCATCCACGCCGGCCCTTCCCCCCCGGCCGCAGGTTAGGGTGACGTCACCGGGCTGGGTGCGCCCACCTGCCGGCGGGGGAGGGGCCGGCGGCGACAGCCGGGGACCTTGAGAGGTCACCACCCTCCGCACCCACCTCCCAGTTCTTCCTTACGTCTAATTCAGTGCCCTTCCTCAGCCCTCGCTCCGTTTTTCCTGTGTTCACGCCTGGAAACGGGCAAAGGGGTGGGGACGGGATTCGCGGAGGGTTTGGGCGCTCAGCCTCAGCACGAAGAGAGGCTACCGGAACCGAGAGAATCTGGCCGAGCCTCCCCCTTGCTTCTCCTGCGCGCACATCCTCCCGGCTCCTTCGAAGGGAACTGGCCCTTCTCAGGCCCCCCAGTTGCAACCGTGAGTTGGGGGTGGGGGTGCTTCGGGATTCCTCTGCGTGGGGCAGCTGGAAGGGGCTCTGCACTGGGAGGGCTTCCTGGAGGTGGTGTGGGAGGGGCAGATTTGGTGCAGCCTAGCCCGCTGGAGCAACCCTAGGCCCAGTGGCCTGCTCCTCTTTCCCATCCGTCCAGGTAGGAGACACAGAAGGTGGAATGCCAAGTTCTGGGTTGTGCCCACCTGCAGGCAGCTGGTGCTGGCATCTACTCACCTATCTTCCAGGAGGGTGATGCTCAGGGTGGGGCAGGGACCCTGGGGTGGAGTGACTCTGGTTAGACCAGATACTAGGGACCCTACGTTCTGGTTCCAGCTCTGACCCAACTGGTGGACCAATCCGGGAGTACATGTCCGTATCTTGCACTTTGGTTTCCCTCTTAGCCTCTAGGAGCTGGGGCAGGAAAGGAGAAAAATGAAGTAGAAATTCGAGGTCTTTTCTTTTTTAGAAACAGATGGCTGCCCAGGGCTCCTAGAGCAGCATCTGGTTTAAAAGGACTGTGGCTACAGTCCATGGGGTTGCAAAGAGTCAGACATGACTGAGGGACTAACTCTTAACACCACCTCCCTTGCCTTCCAGCCACAGGGCACTGAGGTCTGACTGAACCCCAGAACTCATGGATGGTACTGATTATTAATCCCAGACTGGAGTGCCCACAAAGTGCAGGATGCTGGGTGGGCATTATTTCTGACCCAACAGCCCCATGAGTCGTGCCTGCTACATTTGGCATGCTGGAAAAAAAGACTGCACAGCTCAGGCATGCTGAAGGCAGGTTGCACTGAGGTCCTGGCTGACAGCTCTGTGCAGCTGTCCCTCTGCTGTGCGCCCCATGCCCCCTCTCTCCCCACTCCACATCTACTCTCCCAACCCTGCTGACTCAGGCCTGGGGGTCACAGTTCCTGTCCCCACGCTCTGGAGTGGGCCATGGGAGACACTTAGGGCGCCACAAGGTACAGAGGACACAGCTTGAATGCCAGCCCTGGCTGTTACCAACCATGTGACCCTGGACAAGTCACTTCACCTGCTGGAGCCCCGAGCTCCCTATCTACAAAGCAGATAAGAACCATGGCACCTTCGCGGTTGTTTCGGAGAATTCCATGCGCTAATAAGGCATGTAGCCATTTTAAGCACAGTGCACAGTAGATCCTCACTAAAGGCTTTGTCTATAGTTGCTACACCTGAGGTAGGTATTAAGGGAGGGGTCCCTGAAGACATCCCCCCACCTCCAAGAGATGGATCCTGGGCTTCAGGGACCCGTCGGCGCTCACGGTGGGCTAGGAGACCTAAGGGGCACCGCAGGGCCCTGAGCGCCTCCCGCCGCCGCCCACAGGTGTTCTCCATCGCTGTTTTCGGGCCCATCGTCAACGAGGGCTACGTGAACGCCGACAGCGGCCCAGAGCTACGCTGCATCTTCAACGGCAACGCGGGCGCCTGCCGCTTCGGAGTCGCGCTCGGCCTCGGGGCCTTCCTTGCCTGCGCCGGTTTCCTGCTGCTCGACGTGCGCTTCCAGCAGATCAGCAGCGTTCGCGACCGGCGCCGCGCGGTGCTACTCGACTTGGGCTTCTCAGGTGGGCGGGGCTGGGGCGGGCCCGGGCGGGGGCCCTTCCTTGCCTGCGCCGGTTTCCTGCTGCTCGACGACGATCTGCTCGTCCGCCGTCCCGCAGGCCTCTGGTCCTTCTTGTGGTTCGTGGGCTTTTGTTTCCTCACCAACCAGTGGCAGCGCACGGCGCCCGGGCCGGGCACGGCGCAGGCGGGGGACGCGGCGCGCGCCGCCATCACCTTCAGCTTCTTCTCCATCCTCAG